GATGCCATGTTCTGCATGCTGTAATTTAATGTTCGTTTTCAGGTCTTACCAAAAGGGCCTCAAACTTTTAAGGTACTAGAAATCAATTGTCTATCCTGACATTACGATTATTTATTGTACATTCTCACTTTTTTCATGATTTTGCTGTATGTTTTTTTTTTAAGTCTTTCTTCCGTTCTGTGTTTTATGGAATAGTATTTGACTTGTGCACTGTCTTCTGTTGAGTCCTCTGAATATTTCTGTTCTTTAAGGCTTTCCTGTTTTGTTGGTCACTTTTTTATTTTATTCCTCTGGGTCAGCAAGCTGTATGTTTTTTTGTTTTGAGGTGAAAGTACTTTTAAAAAGGGTTTTTCCCCCAGAGTATGTAATTTTCGCAGAGTGGAAATTCCCCTTTCATGAGGACCTAATTATTTTCGAAACCTGAAAATAACTTTCTCTTTCATTTAAATGTAATTTGAATGTTTGTGTTTTCAATTTTTTCTGAATTAAAGGTTATTTGAAGTTGCTACAGCTTATCAGAAATTTCCCAAAATGTAAAAGAGACGCTGTTAGTTCTTATTTTACAGCCATGTTGCTGACGTGGTCAACTATCCAGCTAATTATGATTTCACTTGTTATCTGATTTTGTATTAAATGATTGCACAACTTTTTGAGACCAGTGTGAATATGAAGATGACAGATGAGAATGACAATCTAGAATATGAGTCTGGTTTGGACACTTTACAGTCAGAGGATGGAAATTTTTAAAAATCCTCTTTTGAATTTTTGACTTAAAAGAAGGGAGGGGCAGGAGTACCCAAAAACTATAGGACTTACCATTCACGAAAACCGTGGAAGTCTTGTTAAGGAGTATGATTTTCTCCATTATATTTATTGTTTTCTTAAGTGGGTGTCAATCCCCCTCGATGACGAAAGTAACATCATTTATGTGGGATCAAGCTTTTTACACAAGAAGGTTTTTCCTTCTGTCCATCATGATGTATAACAGGAACAATTTTGTGTGTGAGTGTCTTCCTGTGATTCTGTTTTGTACCAAGTAACTCAGAAAAAAACACTCGGCACACCTTATCATTTTCTTTGTAAAAGTGGTCTTATTTTGTAAAAAGATATTTGTTCTACTCTCTTTAATGCCTCTAATTATTGTTCCCTGTATTTGTTGTTGGGCCGTTGTTTCTTTCTGTTGTCCATTCTGCTTTTTGTGGGTGCTCATCGATCACTTCTGTGTTGTGCATTTTTTGTTGTCATCTCAAACAAAGTCACAAGCACTGACTCTTTGTTCATCATCATCATCAAGTGGCAGACATCGGCAATTATGGTTCTCCATTTCATTCCTTTGCTCGGATGCTCTTACAAAAGCTATGTTACCCTTATCTTTCCCCGTTGCCCTTCTGTTTAGGTTCTCTAAAAAGGTTTCTCTGGGCCAACCCCTGTCTCGTTTGTCTTAAATTTTGCCCGTGAGAGCTAGCTGGTCAAGACCTTTACGCCTATTCAGGTGTCCCAAAAACTGCATTCATTGTCTTTTCCTGATTGCTTATATCAGTGAACGTCTCACTATAATGTAATTGAATCGCAGAAGATTTTGTTGGTATTTGGAGGATGCCTCTGCTTCTTTTTTTTTCCTTTTTATCAGTCTATCTAGTCCCTGCACTAAGGGACATTTTTGTTTTGTTAATGGGTTTCTTTTTTAGGGGTTTTTTTTTGGTTTTTTGTTGGGGTTTTTTTCATTAAACTTCACAGAAATTTCTTTATGGCTACTCATCAGGTTGCATTTTTATTACCCCCTAAGTTACAGGGAAAAAAATGTGTTTAGTTTTTAATGTGGGTTTTTTGGGGGGGTCAGTTTTTTGGCTTTTGTTGTCAACAACGTTCATTTAAAGCCTGATTTCATGACTATAGTTAATTCTTGTACAGATTTAGAAGCGTTGCTTGGTCATTTACAACCGACCCTGCTCTACCGGCCACCTGTCCTAGACATCACCTGTACAATTAACCATTTCCCCTCTCTTTTTTTCCCTTAAAATAAAACTACCCAAGACATCTATCTGTCTAAGACAACCGATTTCCTCCTTGACAATCAGTGACCATCTTGGATAATTTCGACTGTGAGCGATTCTTAAAATGTAATCTTTATTTGTACATACCAATTTATTTTTTGAAAAGTTTATTTTTATTCAAACATAATTTAGTATTATAATTTATTCTTGTATGTACAGATTCTGTTAAAGACTTGTTTTTGTACAGACATATTTCTGAAATGTAGTTTATTCATGTACTCTTTCCCACTAATTTGTGTTATTTATGTTGCTATAGCTTTGAATGTCCATTGCAAGAATGGTCGATAGACACTCGGATATTGTCTACATCATATATACTTTTTTAAAGTGATTCTGATATTTTTATTTGCTTCTGCTGGGTGGTTTTAGAACACCACGGGCTAGATCTTTATTTTACCTCTTTTGTTTCTGGAGATGTGTCTTGCTCTTTCCCCTCTCTAAACGACCATAATGGTATTGATGTGCTTGTTTTTGCTTTTTTTAAAAACCATATGTCATCTGCTCCCAAACAAAACGAGACCTTTATTTGTACACTTCCACCCAACCCCTGGCCTCACTTTTTTTGCAAAGGAAAAGCTCTGATGTGGACTGCTTATCATTGACCAGTCTTATAACAAAAAACGTATACATGTGTAATTTGATCAAGGGGGGAACCTTTCTCATGGTGCATCTTTCTGTCTTTCTTTTGTGGGCTGTACAATTAAAATTAAGGAAGTTTTGGTCATTTCAAAATATATGTTGTGACCCAATTACATGTTATTGTCATGACAAAAGCAATTTTTATAAATGACTCCATAACTATTTACTGTAATCCTCAGCAAATCAGACAAAAGTTAGATGGGCCAATGAATATTGACATGAAATAATCTGATGTACCAAATTTTACTTAATTTGAAACGCACAAATATACGGCATATACATTTTTCTGTCATGTGACAGAAGAGTTGTTCAGATGTACAGAGAGCAAAATTTTGAAATCATTTGTACATGTATACAATTGTATTACAATTTCTTTTTCTGAGGTTTCGGTTGTGTGTACTGTACAAACATTTTGTTGAAATTCCAGTTCTATATGTTGAAAAATGACCTTATTCAGTTGCGAGCGATGTAAAACTCCTACAGAGACAACAAATGTTGAAAAAAGCTACATAACATAGTTCGCAAACAATGTTTTAAAAGAAAAATGAAACTGGTTTTGTTTGTTTTTTTGGTAATTTTTCTCTAGATGAATGTTGATTTCTGGCCTTACAACTGTTGAACAGCTCACAGACATTTTTTGTTATACCTTAGCTATGGTCTCAAATTGCAAGTGGGTTTCACATTTTTTGTGTATTTAGAGAAGTACAGTAGAATATTCTGCTCTTACACCCGTGCAAACAACCACTTCCCACTTCCTCCTTATGTGTTTTTTTTCTTAAATTTTAATGGTACTGTCCAAGACAACTACCTGTCTAAGATGACCCCTTTTTTTTCACTTTTTCACACTTTACACATTACACAATAACATATTTATACAGGTGAACTTTACTTTACTTTACTTTTCCGATCCAGCGGCCTTTTGGGTTCTAGCCCTTTGGTCTGTATACAGGTGAACACTGGGCATATACACATGAAATAAAGAGTATATAAGCATCATTCTACCCCAATGTCTTGGAGGACACAAAGTGTCATCAAGAATAGCCGCACTAAACAAACTCTGACTCTGACCCCTACGTTTTTCTTGTTTTCACAGAGCCGCTCTGGATCACAGCGAGCCGAAGGTGAAAACTGGAGAGAACGGAGCTGCAGGCAAGCAGTTCATGAGAGGGCGCAAAGGATCCAACGATGACGGCAAGAATAGACTGAGCTTCAAAGTAAGTTGTCTCTCCCCCCTCTCTTAGCAGTTAGTTCATGCCTTATTCTTGTAAAAAAATTTAGGGGGGGAGGTGCTGTCAGGTATTAGATAACAGAAAAAAGATGCCTTGTCAGAAGTTTGCAAGGAGGGGGGGGGGGGGGGGAGGATGCTTCACTGAAGGTTAACAGTCTAAATGACAAAAGAGTACGTCATTTTTCAAAATATTTTTGGGAGTCTGCATCAGTCTCCACTGTGCGGGTGGTTGGGGGGTAGTTGGCGGGTGCTCTGGTGTGCTTTGCTCCTTCTTTCCTATCAGATATTTATCGTCCTGATCTCTCCTCCTTTTTTGTGTTTGTTATTTTCTTGTATTACCTCTAATCTTCTGTACTTACATGACATTGTGTGTTGCTAGTGCCATAAAACTTACTAAAACGAATCATCAAAAAAAAAGAAATCTCCACTTATCGAGCTTTAACATCTGCAGTGGTACACAACTTATTCGAAATTACACTTGGCTGCTACACTGGCAACCACAATTCCTGTTCCCTTTTCTGAGGATGGTTTGCTGGAAAAAACATTATTGCAACATTCTCTGTTTGGTCGGACGTGGATGTTTTTTCAAAAATCTACATCTTGACAGAGGTATGGATTTTCAGGATACATTCAGAAACAGTTATCATGAAACTGACTACATTTTGCCCGACTTCATATCTTCATAGGAGTAAAAGTCTTGGTACAAAATGTATCAGAACATATGATCCTTAAATCTTGAGATGCAAGTTTCCTGCTGGCTCCTTAGATCTTAAGTAAAGCCAAGTTGTAGCTCACAGCCCTTTTGTCCCTTCCAAGAACAATGAGACTTTACAACAGCTGTCTCAGATGGCATTTCACCCCATGGTCCAGTTTACCAAGATGTAAGCGTGAAACAGAGAAAATACCTAACAACTGTCAACTTTCGCACATATTATGTAACTGAGTACCATAGCATTGAATTGACAGTTTTATTGCATCGGTACTTTGGTCATTAACATGTTCATTCTTTACTGATAGATCTTTATGTGTTCTCTTGACCTAGCCCTGCTTCTCTGAAATCAGCTAAATAAGATGTTGACTGTTTAAATTTATGGTCTTCTGTGAGCCTGTTGACTGTAAAGTGTTCATGTTGACTGCAAAATGTTTTCTCAAAGTCATGACTCATCTCTCCTGTTTCTCTTTGTTCCCCACAGGGCTCTCTTGGTCGTGCCTTTGGCAAGAAAGTCAAGGATGACTTGAAATTGAATTTCGACACGGAACCGTCCAAATCTAAAATCTCCGCCCCTATCCCTATTCAACACTTGAGCCTGTCCTCACTCGACACGGACTCGGAGCTCATGAAGAAAGGTTTCTGTCTGTCCAACTCACTGAAGGAACAGAAGAGCCCGGCGTCGCAAGTCACATACAGAACCAGCGCCGACCATTCCGAGTCGGAGTCTCATCAGTCCAAGTCTGCCAAGCGCAAGGCTCTCGCTTACTCCGACCAGACTTTGTACAAGACGGCGCTGTCAGAACTCATCAGCAAAAACGAATCTCTGAACAATATCGATCACGACGTCGCGTCCAACATCAACAAAAACGTGGATGTGTCTCAGAATCTGAACAACCTCAACGTGGTGGACAGGAAAGAGGAAAAGGATAAGTCGTCGGTGCCCTCGTCGTCACAGGAGACGCTGACGGAACAGAGCGCCGGCTGCAGCAACAACCTGGAGAAGAACAACAACAAGAAAGACAAGGAAGCGTCAGCGCAGCAGAAACCCATCAACACCAATCCGCAGCCTACCACCACTGGTGCCCCCACCTTGGTCTCGTCCTCCGTCACCTTCACCAGTAAACCCACAATGTCGTCAGCTTCTGCTACAGTCGTTTTGGAGAAAAAATGTGCAATAAAAATGGAGCAGCCTTCGGTGGCGTTTGACAAAGCTGTGGTGACCAGCAAGCCGCCCCTGAGGCCTACGGTCAGCGCTGACCCCAGCATGAGGTCGTTCAGCGTGGAGGCGCGGAGTTCACAGGGTGACGCTGCAATGAAGGAGAGTATGAGGAAGAAACGGGGCTCACTCAAAGATGTTTTTCCCCAGACCACATCTGTGTGATTGCTAGGATTCTGGTGGTGCTGTCACAACTGTTGTTTTGTATTGAGGATAGAGATGGTTGAAGTAATAGTATTATAGTGACCTCTGACCCATGAAGCATTATATTCGTGCAGTGCATGTGAGGTGATGTATGTACGTTTGGGTGCGTCTTATGTATGTGAATATGTAGAAATATTGATTTTAGTATGTTGTAATGGCAAATGCCAGCTGATAAATTGAAATAGGGGACATCGTTTCATTTTATGGCTGGGGGATTAAAATGCTACTCAAGTTTTATGGACTGGTCTTGTGTTGAAGAGCACTAATCGTTGATATTTCATTAGACAGCGGTGATTCATTTTTATAGATTCCCTTCCTTTTTATGATTCTGTGTTTCAATGAGTCAGTATTGATATTGCTTGAGCTCCTGTCAAGCCAAGAAAGGATGTCTTTGTCAGTTGTCAACAGACAACAAGAACCTCTTTTATTATGTAAGAAGGTGCGGTGAGTGACATTCAATCAGTCTGTGTGTTTATGTTAATTTTTGGAAAATTCCTGTCCGTGAAACCTTCTGCCAGTTTGTTTTTGTGTCCCCATGTAACTCTATCATTTCTGACTTGTCTTTGGTCACTTTCCCACCACCCCTTAGCTGTGGACTGGGGGAGAGACATCACTGCTTAAGATGGTTGGGCTCGTTTCCTACTTTATCGAGTGTCTTTTTCCTTCAATGAGGATATTGTATCCTTCCTAGAACTAGCAGAGTCAGAATAATGATGTTAATAATAATAATAATAATAATGATAATAGATTGCTTTTCTATAGCATAAATTCCAGCTCAACAGCAAGCTCTGTGCACTTTACAACAGCCTGCTTCCTATATCATCCTATCGGCAGGGGGGGGGGTGTAAGATATGAACTATAGTTATAGACTGGGAAGTTACAAATAAATTGTTGACATTAGCAGAGGGTATTACTGATGGGTCTTGCTTTTTTCTTTTTTTTTTTTAAATCTTCTTATCTTACCTGTTCCCTTTAGCTTACCTGTCTCTCCTCATCACACCTTGTCTCTCTCACCTCATCTTACCTGTTTCCTTTATCTTACCTGTCTCTTCTTATCTTACCTGTTCCCTTTTCTTTTTCCGTGCCCTGACTAAATGGTTAATGTTACATTGATATCCTGTTTGCTCAAGCAAACAAGCAAAGAAATGCAAGCACCTTACTCGAATAGGAAGACCCTGAACTGTGGAACCTGAACTTTTTCGCCCGTTATTCAGGTTTCAAGTTTTGAGATCCTTTTCAGATCTTTACCAGTTGCACAGTGGAACCCTTACTGAGTCATAAAATGCCTATTGAATTGCGATTGTTGTAAAGATATTATAATTATTGTTATTGATCAATGAAGTTCTTCATAATTGATATTGCCAGTTGAGAGCTGGAAGTGACCGTGTCCTTGTTTTCAGCCAAAATACCAAAAACAGAGAAACTGGGGCATTCGAATAACGTTCCATCATGTCTGTAGATGTCAAATCAACACACACACACACACACACACACACTCACACACACACACACACACTCACACACAGACACACACACACACACACACCCTCCCGCTTTGTAGTGTTGCTAATTTGCTAATGCGTCAGTGTCCAATTAAGCCTGTCCAGTTTTTGATGGTCATAAAAATGAATTTTTCTCAAAACAAGAAATCTGAACGTTGTCACCTCCAGCTCTCAGTCGACAGTTCATCAAACTGTTTTATCCTCTGGTGCTTCCACGGTTCTTTTTTCACCATACGTTGTCTGGTGTGTACATATTATGTCTTTAAAAATACGCTCCTCCAGAATACAGCATTATATGAACCGGTTTGCTCTCAGCATTTAGAAAAGTCTCTAAAAACGGTGCAAGTTTTTAAGCGATCACAAATCAGCAACATATTAATGTAATGTATATATAAGTTTTCTCTGTTATTTGTTTATGCTAAAAAAACTAATTCACAGCAGATAAAGTTTTCACAGTTGTGCTTAAATCATCAAAATACTCTTAATGTCACTTTCATTCACAGAGTAACGGCAAAGCCACGTTGTACATGACACCATTATCTCCAAATCTCACTTAATCAACATGTTATTGATGATTAATTACTGTAATTTTGAATCACAGATCATCCATAAATCTCACATTCAAAGTTCTCATAAAATGATTACGAAGGAAATTTATTTCATTTGCTTATTATATTATTTTGCTAATACAGTTGTCTAGTCATGGCATTTCTGTTTACTCAGGCGGGTTCCACTGTGCTTTTCGATATGAATGGTGTGTAGACCCACCATCTCTGGTGAGAGGAAAAGGATTCAGAGGGTCTACATTGGTGCAATAGCCTAGAGGTCTCCTGTTTTGTTATATATTATATTCATTGGAAATTGACCGAGACTGCCACTCATTGTCAAAGATCAAAGAGAAAAGTGGTTGTCTTAAATAAGTTGACACCTGATAGTGTTATTACATTGTATGAAAAATGAAAGAGGGGAAAGGGGTGAGTGGGAAGTAACTGTTTAAGTAGAGGTGCTTGTCTTGAACAGGTGGCCATTACTGCAGAGTTCAACAGTGGTCTAGATTCTATAGTCTATTCAGGCAGTGAAACATTTGTGTTTTGGGTTGTTGGTAGGTGCTCTGATGCGCTCTCCCTTTTTTTATAGTTTGTCCACCTTTTCAGTATTGTTTCTGTCCTCCTATTCTGTGTCTGGTGAAATGTGGCCTGTTATTATTGAAATTTTTTGTGCTGAAGTCATGAAAGAAGTCTGTAAACTGCACACATCCACAACTGGAAATGAAGCTTTTAAATGCTTAAAATGTGGCAAACTCATCTCTGCTACAAGTGGTCTAATTGGCCTTGGCAGAAGCCACTAGTCATCCTAATCCTTATTTCTCCTTTATTAGCTCTCTTCAGATGAATTGGTCATTGTCAGATATTGACTGATCAACTATTATTATTATTGTTATTATTATTATTATTGTTATTATTATTATTATTATTATCATTATTATTATTATCATTACTGTGCTGCTGTATTGCTATCAACCAATTAATGCAGCACCAACAATTGCAATGTCAGTGTCAATACTGTTGTGCATTTGCCTGGTTAAAGTGGTGAAAGTGCTTCTTATGCTGCTTCAGGATAAACAATGATCTTCTTTTCCAAGCTCTTGTGCTGGTGGCATTTCCCTGTTCACCATGTGTTGTGGCCCTCGGCTTAAAGATGTATCTGTCTCTGGAGAGGATAAGAGGGTAATTTTGAAACTTTACACTTTTTTCAACTTGAAACTTTGTCACTTTAACCTGAAGTAGCCTATTGGCTAGGCTGGATCTTTTCTTGCTTTTTGGTTTTCATGTTTTTGTTTTTCTTGTTTATTTATTTCTTTATTTAATTATTCTTTTTTTTTTATATATAAAAAAATAATAGGGGGAAGGGGGAGAAGAGAATTTGTTTGCTTGTTCAACATTCAGAAGTATGTTCATCTCCCATTTGAAATTGTTTATACCATCTCCAGTGTTTGTTTTAAGACAGATGCTTCGTGTTTTAAAGGTGAAGCAAGAGTGCAATTATTGAAGTAATGTGAACCATCGTTTACTCTGCCTGACAGCAAGACTCATCTGTGCCTTATTTTTGGGGGGCACAATGCCTGGCTGAATATAATATCGTAATTTTTAGCCAAGATCAGCAAGCTCGGCCAAATGAATCTATGATTTGTATCTGCACAGTATAATCTATGTTCGCTGTATGATTCCAGCCTCTCTGTAGCTCACCTAATATTGTTCTACGATTGTTCTGTCTTTTTGTTCTTTCAGCCTGTCATAGTAGTTGAGTAGAAGTGGGTGTGGTTTGCTTCTTCTTTCTTATAAAACAATCTATCATCCTCATCTTGCCTGTCTTTTTGTTTGTATACATATACTACTCTCTTGTAACACCTTTAATTTCTCTAATTTTTATATGACCTGTTTGTGTTGCAAGTGCTGTAAAACTCTTGACGAAAACTAAAAACTAAGTACATGTAGTTTTACGTGTTTTATCTCACTGGTATCGTGCAAATGCCTTCACTTTAAGCCAAACCAAGCTGTGCTTGCTTTAGTTTGTGTTCATGGTGGTGTGGCTGAAGAGTGAGTGCCACTGGTAGTAACTATTTCATCGTTGTCACATTATGGTTTCTGTCTGTCTGTCTGTCTGTCTGTCTGTCTGTCTGTCTGTCTGTCTGTCTGTCTTTCTTTTACCCATTATCAAATGATCACTGTTGCACTGATGTATTTCTCTTTCCTCAAACTAAAACAACTTTCCTCTAAGTCAAGTAGTTGTTGCTGAAACCGGCATCAGTAGTGTAGCTGTTAAGCACTTCACTGTTGCACACAGGAGACCTCAGTTCGATTCTCAAGTGGTGAGGAAATTTTTATTGAGCATCTCGGTCTTTCTGATAGGATGTTTTATGTCTCTCAGTCTGGGTTAGCCCTGACAGGTAGGGTCAAAGCCTGCCCCCAAGGTGATCTAGATTATGATGAAAAAAAAGTTAGTACCTCTCTCTGATTCCAACCTTCAATTTCAACTCTCACACGATGACTCAAGCTTGAAACCTACTACACCACAGTCGTCAGCAAAATCTAAAGGACTTTGAAGTTATTGAAGAAATGTTTGAATGAAATTCCTCAAACCTTTGTGCCATATTCATGTTCGCCTTTTTGTGTGTTCATCCTTGCACTATAACTATTGTGTACGGTTTTCTTGTTTAGTATTCACTATTTTCTTAGTGTGTTTCTACTAACAATCTATTAGAAGTGCTGTTCTTTTTTGCTAGTCCTGCTGTGTAGTCTTTTGTCAATCGTCGATGATATATATGCAATTAATGTCAGGCTTCAGTTCACATTTGTTAAAGGATTACCAAAGTGAAGGGAGCTCGGAAAGCAGAAGAGTTTTATTTTTCCGATTTTTTTAGGAGAAAATGGGTTTGATGATTTTATTTTTTGTTTTATTTTACTTCTCCTTTTTAAGTTTATCCACCTCGTCAGCTAGCTGTTCAGGTTTACTAAGCCCAATTTTTTTTTTTTTTAACAACATTTTCTTCTTTTGTGATATCACTTGCATGTGCTCCTGAAATATTTTGTAGAAATTCAAATTCCAAATGTTTGAAAAAATCCATAAAAAGTACATGATATTGACCCAATTTTAAAAAAAATTGAAATACTGTTTTTTTTCTTTGTCCTTAGAAATGTTGCTTTCTGCTGGGCTTATAATGGTTAATAGCTTGCCAACGTAATTTAATTCTGATGATAAGCGTATGACCTAATAAAAGGCAGCTGGTTGCTTGTCAGTCTGAGTCATGAATATCGCTGATGTTGTTATGCTCCTGTTGGTAAACTGACTTTCACTGAATAACTTTAGCACATGACCAATTGCATACCTGTTACATATATATTATTTCTCAATTGCAATGTTTTCTCTTTTGGAAGTTTTGCTTTGACTTCCTCCATGGTGTGTCTATATTATTATTCTCAAACTACCACATTTTGGGAAATACAAGGCGCTTAATTGTGTAAAGTGCTTCCGCACAACCCCTCCCCCCACCCAACCCTTTCCACACACACACACACACACACACACACACACACACACACACACACACACACACACACACACACACACACACACACACACACACACACACACACACACACACACACACACACACACACGCACACACACACCTCTTTTTTGCATTCACCAGCTGGATCTGCTCTCAGGGGTAGTCAGCCTCTCATTCTTCAACCTGCACTACAACTTATTTATACATAAGTAACCAGGGTTTTTTTCTACTTGGGTCACGGACGTTAAAATCAGTTGTATTGCAGCTGAAAGAACCAGCTGTTGACTACTCCTGAGATGAACACATGCAGTTAAAAATGCGTTTTCACCCTTGCCACATGTATTTGCATAGAACTCTGTAGTACAGTTGAGTGATGTGTTGGGTACAAAGAAT